CCATTTCTTTCTGTGCGAGTCTACGTGTAGATTTGTTTTCAACACAGGGTGCTCTGAGTGCACAGCTTGACAGCAGAGAAGAGAAAATGTTTCCAGAAGAAGAATCAAGAAAACAGAAGTTTAAAGAATTCAGGTCAAAGTTGGACTCTTGTCTTGTAACACTGTGACAGTCTGAGGGACCAGAAACATCATTTTGGAAAGTTGTAAAGCAAGGCTTGACCTTATGCATCACTTTCAAAACAAGCAATGCTCTGCCTCCGTGCTAGTTTCAACAATGTACACATTTAAGTGTTCATGGAGGTTGTAACAACAAGTTGTGCAAAGCCTGGAAGACGCTGTGTATGCTCATAACTTTGATAAATGTCCTTAAGTGATGTCACTTGAGTCAGCAGGATCTGCAGAGGTCAAAAAATATAATTTTCTGGAATCAAGATTTTTTTTTAAATGCGGGTCGCTGATGGCCCAGCGGTGTGGTTGCACCCAATGTACAGAGGCTATAGTCTCGGTTCAACTCCGATCTCTAGCTCCTTTCCCACAGGTCAATCCCCACTTTCGCTCCCAATTTCCCACTGTCAAAATAATTCAATTAATTTTTTAAATGATGATATGATTTTATGAGTTTATCAGACCTCTGGAGCAGGCAGCTTGTCTCTGCATTCTGCACAGAACTTAATTAGCATAACACCTGGATCTCTAACAAAATTGTTGCTGATCATGTTGCATTGTGGGTAATGTAGGCACCAGGCTTTGACTAGAAGGATGTAGTGACAAAAATGTGTGTGTATCACAGGATGTGGGATGTAAAATGTTTTCCGACATCCTTCTACTTTTTGGTCACTTAGAGGTTATAACATGTGACTTTCAGAGTAAGACGTCCAGTAGATGTCAAACTACAACACCAGTTTCTCAAACCAAAACAAAGACGTTCCTTCAGGACACCACCTCCACTCCTCCCCCGCTGCTTCTTTAGTGTCCCTACCGAGTTCAGCAGTTTCTACGCCTGATCTCCACTCAGACATGCAGCCCAAAGTTAGTTCACTTCTTCTGTGTTTGAAGTATTTTACACCAAAAAAAGTCTTTTGGTTCTTCTCAAAATATATTCCATACTCCGCTATTAAGTCCCTATAGTAAGAGGGTACCTAAGTGGGCGGGGCCGTCTCTCTTCCTACACGTGTTGGCTAACGTTTGGACAGTAAGGGACTCAGTTGAATGCAACATGTCCGCGTCTTTGCGTCAGGCATTTAAAGACACACACGTCTGAAGGTTTAGTACCAGCAGGGGGCGATAACGAACCGACGGTGGTGTCCTCCACTTTATCTGCAGCTCTTCTACTGAGCCGGTGGAGAACACAAAAGTCATAACATCGATGTCATATTTAATCTCTTTTTTTTCTTTTTTTTATATAACCGATTTGACAAGGGAAGGCTGAAATGAAACATAAAAATAGAGTAATATGAGATAAAAGAACATCCCCCTGTTAGAATTCCCTCTTCAGCAGCAGTGAAATGAGAAAATCCCTTCTTTGGCATGCTGATGTGTGTCGGCTTTTTCTACAGCTTTGCAACCGAGACATGAAAAAGAAACTTACTATAATGAAAGAAACATTATAAGATTGATTCTGACAGTGTGAGATTTAGTATTTAAAGCTACAGTTATCGCTGAGTCAGCACCTCGTATGTTTCGCCTTGCTGCAGAGTTTCCTCATTAAAGCCTTGAAAAAACCTGAAAACATGTCGGCTTCTTTGTTGCCTCCATGTGAAGTCGGGACTGAGTCAGAGTGTCACAGGTGTCCAGCATGAAGCGACACACGACCTGAGAAGATTAAACTGAAATAATCTGGCTTGTATAGAAAGTAAAAAACAAACATACTGTATGGTGCAGATGTTGGTGTACAAGAAAATGAGCTTTCAGCCATTAGTGCGCGTTGCTCCAGCTGCTGCAGGGGATGAAACAGGTTTCATCCCCTGCAGATGCATTAACAGGGATATGGTCATTTCAAATTAGCATTAGCTGCAACAGAACAAATATTTTCACAACAGCTTGCTCTCTTTACAAATCAATTATCAATAATGCCTGAACTTTCTCATGCTTCAGAATTTAAAGGTTAAATAAACTTTAGAGATGTGGGAGATGATTGCAGTTTTAGCTTTTGTTGCTCAAATCCAGAGAATGGATGTAAGGCTCAATCCTCTTGGACAAAAAGGTATAACGCATAAGAGACTTTTGTTCCCTTTTTAATACCATATTGCACCAACTGTACAGTGCTACTCCCAAAGTTACTCATTCATTAAAATAATATTCCAGCTCTCAGCCTGTCGTTAGGTTGACTGAAAGTTAGGCTGAGACAGGATTTCCAGCACGGCGCTTGCTGCCGATGATACACCTTGATATCCCATTAAAAAGTCTTATTTCTGGGGCGAAAGTGGCTGAGTGGTTAGGGCGAGCGCCCCATGTACAGAGGATGATGTAGTCCTCGAAGCGGACAGCCCGGGTCCAAATCCAACCTGAGGTCTGGATTATATCAATTCAAATCTTAACATTATTGTATTGTCTTTTTTATCCTACTACAATTTTAAATATTTTTCTCCTATGTATTAATTTTAATATCTTGTTGCTTTTATGTGTCGTGTTTTATTTTTATACATATTTTTTTAATTCTTATACGTGTGCATTAGTCTCTCAATGATTTTATAAACTACTTTTTTTGTCAATAACTTTTCTGCACTCTTGTAAAGCACTTTGAACTGCAATTTAATTTGTCTGAAAGGTGCTATATAAATAAAGTTTGATTGATTGATTGATGATTGATTCCCCACTCTCTCCGTCCCTTGTTTCCCACTCCATCCACTGTCTTATCTCTAAATTAAGGCGTAAAAAGCCCCCCCACCCCCACCAAAAAAAGAAAAAAAAAGTGTTACTTTTATTTGCATGTGGTGCTCCAGTGATTCCATGTTTATGATCTTTTTGTTCTTAAATATGTTGTTAAATACTGGAGTGCAACATCCATTTTTAAAATAATTTCTTCACTTACATTCTTATAATTCCTCCATGATTATATACAGCGACAGTAAAGTGACCCTACTTCCCTCCAGGGTCATTTAAGATCTCAAATTTCAGCTTCAGAGGGAAGGCATCAGACCAAGATAATAACTGTTGAAGAGCAGAGGTGTTCTTCAAAGTCTTTAAAAATCTATTCAGTGCATCTCAAGTGAAATGATCAACAGACAGACGAGTAATTAAAACTATTCTTATAAACTTTTGAGCTATTTTTAAGCAGAAATGTCAACTGTTCTGATCTATTGAAGAGAGGATATCTTCAGCTTTTCTTCATCCTCTTTGATTTTATATTTAGTTTTTGGGGTTTAAAACCGTCGGTCAGACAAAGAGGCTGTTTAAAAATACCATCTTTGACACTTTTCACTACTTTAATTTTGTTTGGTTAAATGAGATTTAATCTGCAGGCTGCTCAGAGAATATCTACAGGAGTAACCCTGATGTGCTGAGATGCCCACTGCAAGATGTGTTCATCATATTAGGGTGCAATGACATTTTGTGCATGCATGCGTTTTCTTCACTGAGCTGTTCCCTGACCTGGACGTCTGACAGGTGAATAGGTAGCTGCCCTCTTTGTTTAACCTTTAAAGGTAACCGTCTTCTTTGTTTAACCTTTTAAGAGCAGGGTCGGTATAATTCTGCAAAAACAAGCAGGATTTGAAGAGTAACATCTCCTCAGGGCTCAGTCTAAAACCCATCCTCTCCCCTCGGGGATCCTTCAAACACATGCACGAGCACCACCAGATCGCAGCTGATCTGTAACCGAGCAGAGACAAGAGCTCAGATCTGAGCAGAGACAAGACCTCAGCGCATCGCCTTCAACTTTCTTCAACCGCAGTACCTCCTGTCTCATGCAGCCGTATGAAAACACCTCAGCATGTCAACATGTTTGGATTAACTACATGTACATTTAACATGTTTAAGTAAACTGTCTCCTCTTGATGTTTGCAGGACACAGCGCCCCTAAACACCCACTTTCACAAACCGCTACTGTCCCTTTAAATGATTTGAAGAATTTCAATCTGGATGTTTTTTATTTATGACATTTTTTTTTTTTTAAAGATGAGGCTGAGAAAAGCTCAGAAATATTCAGTGATGCCATTCAAACTTTAGGATTACTACATTAAAATAAAGCAGATGGTACTATAGCTTTACATCAATTTCAGTGTTTGTGCTATAAAAACAGTAAAATATATCGTTTCAACCAGTCTTGAAATTATATGAATGAGCATATTTTGAGTGATAATTACAAATATGATTATTTTAGGGCTGCTTTGTACCATTAATTATTAAGAAATGTATAGAGAGTCTGACTTTCAACAGAGTTTGAATACTGTGGCATGTTTTATTTAAATAGATAAATTTGTCATATTTCTATGATTTAGGATTTTAGTCCAACTGAAGACTTAAAACTTAAAAGATCTCTACATGTAAACCATTAAATGTCATTAAATGTGAACAAATTGTGAATTCACAATCCTTAACTTTTGTATTGAACTAATTTGGTTGATTTTCACTTCAGATCCATACATTTTTCTTGTATTGTTTGTGTTCCTGCATGATTTACATGAAGAAGTATAGTTTGTTAAAAATGTGAGACAGAGACAAAAACAAAGAAGAGAAAGTTTCTTGTTAGAAATAAATAAATTACTTTTGTATTGAATTAATTTGGGTGATTTTCACTTCAGATTTCTGCATTTTTCTTGAGGACTGTCATTTTTTTTCTTGTATTGTTTGTGTTCCCGCATGACTTATATGAAGTGGTACAGTTTATTAAAATGTGAGACAGAGACAAAAACAATATTAGAGAAATAAATACATTACTTTTGTATTTTCCAAACACACACACACACACACACACACACACAGCAGCAGCAGCCTGGATCCTTAAACTCAAAACACAGGTGAACTTCAACCTGCTCTTACTGAACTGAACCAGGACTCACCTGCTGTTTCTCCATGGGCTCCTTCCCGATGGAGGACACTTTAGGTGCCGGTGCCCTCTCGCACGTGCATCCCTCCAGCAGGTATATCCCAGATGGCCTCGTGCTCTGCTCGTTCTCGAAGTAGAAGAGCACGTTCTGGTGGAGCGCGAAGTACTTCTCGGTCCAGCGGCTGTTCTCGGTGGTCTTCTTGCTCAGGAAGCCGCGCTTGGTGCCCTCTTTACGCGCGACCACCGACAGATACAGCGCGTGGCCCTCATTGTACCGCACGCCCTTTTGCATTTTTAAAAAAAAAAGTTGTCTTTAATTTTGGAGCCAAGTACAACACTCACCGGAGGCGTCTCATCACATCTCGTTTCAGGCTGTCTGCGCCGTTATGTTTTAGCGGAGGGATACAGCAGAGAAAGCGGTTCGCATGGGGAAGGTAATCCGGGTTTACCATGGTAGGAAAAGTTGGAGATTCCGCGGCGCAGAACAGCATCACATTGGGGTTTTAAAAGTGGGCTATCAGCGGCGAGGGAAAACACACACCTCACCTCCTGTCCATCCTCCCAAAGTTCCGCGAAGAGTTACCGTGCGCTCGGCTTTTCGTCCCGTCAGCAGCGCGCAAAACAAAACAAAACCAAAAAAAAAAAAAAAAAAACAGGAATAGATTGGAGGGAAGAACAGACGGTGAAAACAGAATCACGACGGAGATCAGTGCTAATCGGCTTTGACACCAACTTAAAGAGACAGGTCTCTGCTGTCCCACCGCGCCGAGCTGGAGCGCAGCCTGCACCAGAGTGTATGGGGCCAAAAATGAAACGGTGCAACCAATCACACAAGGGGGGGGGGGGGGGGGGGGTGATGCGCTCAGATGATTGCCTCCTTTGTTTTATTCAGCAGATTTAAAAACATCTTATTTACTTATCTTAACATGAGTCTTAAGGCAGGACATTTAGATGTTAAACACATTGTGTAAACAGGTCACATGTCTTTCTGGGTATTTGCATACTTTTTTCACTTTCTTTTGCAGAACAGCTGTTGATACTATAAATACTACAGTATATATATATATATATATATATATATACACACACACACACACTTCATTCAAAGACATACGTAATTATCCAGATATAAGGAGCGGTGAAAACACTCAGGGCTCAGCTTTAGAAACACTTTAGGACAAATTAAACAATTTCTACACATTTTGTGGTCTACGTCAGTGTATCTCAAAGTGGGGTTCAGGACCCCCAGAGGGTCGCAAGTCACCAAGAGTCGGGTCGCCAGATGCCTTCCAAAGAAACAATCAGAAATTTACAATAATTTGTGTAATTTTTCAATGTTTGACTGAAGACCACCTAAGAAAGCCAACCTAGGCAACTGAAAACAAACAGCCCAGACTAAAACAACAAATCCCAATGTTACGTTCAGGGAAAAAAAATAAGGAACTGGACCCACGTGCAGAATTAACTAAAAGTATTTAATAATCAAAAAGGCTAAAGACAAACACAAAGTTAATTCCAAAAGTTAAAAAAAAAACACAGGGATCAAAAACAGGGAGCCACACGGGAGCACAAGCAAAAACTGATACTGCAGCATTCAGCAATCAACACTGGGATAAAACGGGGAAACTCAAATACAAAATACAAAACCAAATCATGACACCCAACAATCTAAACATGCATGAGTGTAATGATATCTAAATGTGAAAAGAGGGAACGAAAACACAAAGAGAGCAAAAGAGCTCCTCGCCTTCTGCCCAGAGTCTGCACCTTGCCACTCTAAATGACCTGTTAGCATTTAGCAGAACATCTCCTTAAAACATAACAAAGTTTTCATACAGTAGGAGCATGATGTAGGTTTACATCTTTAAAACAGAAGACATAATATTGCATTGAGACACTTTCCAACCATGACTGTCTGATTCATGATTTATCGAAACATCACAACTTATCAGTATATTAACAATGGCATTGATCGGTGTTGTCATGAGATGAGATGAGATTCAACTTTATTGTCATTACACATATACAAGTATAGAGTAACGAAATGAGGTTTGGCATCTCACCAGAAGTGCAAATAAGCAGAAAGTGCAAGAGTCTGTGCTATGTACAGTAATTACAAAATTTACAGATGTAGACTAAAAAAAGTGAATTATTAGGTATATATGGATGGCTGGATTAATGGGATGCTATAAATATAAATAAATGCTATAAATATAAGTGTCATATCACTGAGTTTGCAGCTTACACTTTAACCAGCTACTTCAAAACAAAAGGATTTTCTTAGCTACGATACAAACTCAAATATTTTACTTCTAACTTCCCGTTCTGCAGAACTTTTGATGTTACACAAATGTTTTGTCACTTATATTCAAACTCATTTGAAAGCAGAAGTTTCTATTTTTGAAACTTGCCGTTCCGCTCCAGAGGACGTGTGTGTTTGTTTTCAAACTGTCATTCAGCCTGAAAGCACAAACAGATGTTGTGCTGCTTAAGTAGACAGTGTGTGTGTGTGTGTGTGTGTGTGTGTGTGTGTGCACTGTGAGGCAGATGTTATGCGTATGTGTGTGTGAATAAATGTGTGTGTTTTTTTTTTTTTGTTGTTTTTTTTTAAGCTAAGCTGCCTCACAGTTTGCCTTTCACTCCTGCACACACAGACTGTGATGATGTAGCAGGGTTGTGGTGAGGTTTTCCCCTGTGTGTGTGTGTGTGTGTGTGTGTGTGTGTGTGTGTGTGTGTGTGTTTGTGTGTCCGCCCCATACAGTGTCAGAGTGAGGTGAAGGTCGTGCTGCGTTCAGGCTCTACACATTTGCAACACTTATGCAGCGGCCTGTGGACATACATGTAATTGATAATAAGACATGTATCCCACAGAGGAACTCCATGAGAAGACACAATGTGACTCACAGACGCTGCGGTTCTAATCTGTCAGCTGCAGCTTACGCTTCACTGTGATCAAGTCTGATCCCGCTCCGCACACAGAGGAATACTCATCAACTCAAGTATTAGGATGAACTCGTTCTTCATTTCAGTCCACTCTTTTTACACTACTTTTTGTTTCTCCTCAACTAAAACCAAAGGGGCGAAAAAATGTAGTTTTTTCTGATTTTTTTAAGATGTGTTTTTGGGCTTTTTGTGCCTTTAATGGAGAGATAGGACAGTGGATAGAGTCGGAAATCAGGCAGAGAGAGAGAGTGGGGAATGACATGCAGGAAAGGAGCCACAGGTGGGATTCGATCTTGGGCCGCCCTTCAATTTGTCTCCCTCAGAGTTTTGCATATTGCACTGTTATTGCACATTTGCACACATCCCCATTGCACTTTGCCGTGATCCAGGGTTTTGTTCCTAAACACTCCCATCAAGTCTTAGACGTCGTGATCTGACCATTAACTCATGGGGTGGATTAACCTCTTCCTGCCGTATCCTGACAGCTTTACAGTCCACGTCTGATGTTGTCATGCAAACAGTGAAATGCTGACAAATGAAAAAGTCTCATTGTGGTTTTAATATGATGAGGGAAGAGAGAGAGAGAGAGAGAGAGAGAGAGAGAGAGAGGAACAATCCCTGTGAGGTCAGTGGAGAGGGCAAGGACACATTGCATCACAGCCAGGCACCAGACACACACACACACACACACACACACACTAAAGGGGGGGGTGCAGTTCAGACAGACAATCTGTACGCTTACATAGCTACACACCAACTGTCATAAATCACACTCACACACACTCCAGCTGCTCACTCTCGGAGCTGCAGAGGTGCACAGATTAGGACGAGAGGTTTTTTGAATTGATGCTACTTTCACCAGACATGATGGACTTAAAGGAGAGCTTAGCAAAGAGTCAGTTTTATACATTTTATTGGTTTGTATCAAAGAATACATTTTCTCCACAAGCTTCAAAATGTTTTTTTTGTATGTTTTTGGATTTGAACCATATTGCCGGTGGCTTTAAAGCTGGAAAATAGAATCATTGGCCACTAGGGGGCAGCGAACACTTATACTACTAATATGTCAAGTTTTTGTGGAAAACATACGAGCTGGCAGTTTTTAAACGACCAAAAAAATTAACTTAAAGATGCTTAAAAGCTCTGTTGATTGTAGCAGAATTAAATCTGGTCATTATTTGCCAATGAGTTATCTCACAGGCGACATATTTTTTTAAAGCCTAACAACTAATAAACTAATTTGCATTAAAACCAAGTTGCAACCTCTGGTCTTGAAAAATGAAGCCAATGTGGAAGTGGAAAAAATCCTGCAGTTCGTCGAGTGTCCGCTTGAGGCTGGCTGCAGGAACACAGGAAGTCACACACACACACCAGGCGAAAAAGCAGTTTTTACAGCAGAAATTAACATGTTTACAGCTTGGTAAGAAAAAATAAAATAGGTCTGATTAGTTATTTTACTCATGGGCACACACTGTACAGGAGATGAATTTTTTTCTAACGTCTCCATTTTGATTTTGTAAATGTTATCCATAGTTCGGTGAAAGTTTACTGAAAGTTAGGCAGGATTTCCAGCATGGTGGCTGCTGCTGATGAGCCTCCTGAGCCCCCTGCAGGAACAGACGGCTGACCTCACTTCCACTTCGTCCATTAATATTTACAGTCTACAGATCTAATCAGCATCACAACCATCCTAAATGTTGTCATCCTCATCATCATCACCATCATTAAGTGCGTATAGGTATTTTCGAAAGAGCTGGGTTTTTAGTTTTTCTTAAAGTGCGAAGGGACTCAAATGGAGTTTGTAGTAAATTCCACCACCAGGGGGCGACAGAGAAGAAGAGTCTAGCTAAAGAACGCTAGAGATAAATGTAAGAACTCCCCCTTTGCAGATGATTGATGCACAAAGATGAAGAATACTTAGAATATGCTTCTTATATTTTTTTAAAGGTACATCAGAAAGTCTGTCTTAGTTAAGGCCTGTAGTACAGTTCAGATTACGAGGTATAGATGACATGATGGGTGGTCCTATGGAGACATAAGGGGCTTTTAATATCAGCTCTCATCTGTAGATATAGCGTGCAAAGGATTATGGGGGATTAGTATTACTGTGTGTAAGCATATATAAGGATGTTTACTGTGCTTTAGTGCACAACATACATCACGATGTTTAAGTCTCTGAACTGCGAGATGAGCTAGTGAAGAGTTTTAATGATTGTTTATTTCACACCGTGTTTTCACAGCTGCTTCTGCATCTGTTACAGGATGCAACACTGTGTGCGGTTATTTTTAGAGAGCATCTACTGTGAAACAAAAGAGACACAACTCCTCCACATGAAACAGGAGTTTGTGATCCTTTAGTGAAGTGGTGTGCAAATAAAGATTTTGTGTATTTACCACGGGGGGCTTTTAAAACAGAAATAAATCTCTGAGTAGCACTTTCTTTGTCTCTCTTTGTTTTTGTTTTTGGCTGTTTTACAAAAATAGAGCTTCTGACAAACAGCTGTTTTAAAGATGCAACGACTTGGAATGAAACACAGATTATTTGCTGTACCACCACCGGAGCTTTTCAGGTGACATTACAGGTGATGCCCTGCAGGATGCAGAAAAAATACACCCTCAAAATGTTGCTTTTACATGTACTTTGATTCTGCTTTAACCGCTCCCTGTAGTCCAGGTTTGAGCAGGTTGAGTCTGGGTGAAAGTCTGAGGAGTCTTCTTTCAGGACTTTGTTACATTTCTTTCACAGTGTTTCATTTTCAAGGCTACTCGGTAAAAACGTTTCTTTCCAACATTGTTGAATATGTAAAAATAAATGCTGTTAATTAACATGTATAACAGATCTTTGTGTGAGGAGAGGATCCTCTATGAAGCTGCACAGTGTATCTCCACACAATGATCTAAATGTGAGTCTAAACAAACCTCTGTTACTTCTCTCTCTCTGTTCTGATGTAAATCTGTGAACAAGTACTCTCAGCTGGAAACCACAGACACCCACAGACTGTATGTTTAGCCCTCATGACTAACCAGGTACCTGCTTGATCGCCCTCTTAGAGGAAGAACACTTTAGTGTTTTTATTTGGAGGATTTTTTTTAACCAGGCAGAGCAGAGAATTACAGGTCAGAGTGACATTCTGATTCGGCTGAGGACGTTTTCCCATCATCCTTTGTTGTTTTTCAATTCACACCGGGCAGAATGAAGACTGGAGTTTCTCCTTACTGTACACACATGAACATCATGGGACATCTAACCCTGTCGTTTGTTTATTTGTCTGTTTGTTTATGCAGACAAATGAGAAAATACTAGCGCTATACTCTGGTTAGCAAGAGTTAAATAAAGTTAAAGAAACAGTGAAGAGCTCATTCTTCTTCTGCAGATCTCTGATTCTATCGGACATTATTCAGTTTTTTTTTATATGATGCATTAATGTTAGGTCAGTATTTTACTGTTGTCAGATTCAAATACTTTATACACAGTTGGATAGTTCAGTCCATTGGTTCCCAAGCTAGGGGTCAGGGCCCTTAAAGGGGTCATCAGAAAACCCTGAGGGGTCAGGAGCAGCAAAAAAAGGGAAAGCTACGTTGTGTTACATAAACCTGTTTTCCAGTTTCTGGCTTTTCTCTAAACTTGTTATTTCAGTGAAATATAGGCTCATTTGAACAGTTATCTATATAAAATATAATCTAGAGAGGGAATATGATGTTATTTCCACTCCTGAAACCTGACCAAAAAACCTTACATTTTTGTTTTGCTGTAATAAATATGTATAAGATGTTTTTTAATCCACAGCTGACAATAGTCCCCAAAACTTTTGCACACACGTTACTGCTTTTAATGAGGAAAAATAAGAGATGTTTTAATAGACATCAAAAGTCCACCGACATCTACAATGACCGAACAAAATACTTCAGAATAAACAGGACAGTAGGTGATTTTGGTTATTATAATGCACCACAGAAATAAAGGTAATGATGCACCAGGTGTTTTCAGTTCCATAGCAAAAACATGCATTCAAAGTATAATTTACAGTTTGTTTCACGGTAGGAAAAAAATAATATTTTGCAGCAAAAATAATATTGCACAAGCACAAAGAAAATTGCACAAGTAGAAAAAGTACAAATGACCTCAATAAAAACGACTTCTAAGGGCTGAAGCTTGCATTTAAAACAGAAAATAACTTTACGAAAGTACAACAATCCAATGGTCAAAAAAATGTCATCTTCATGCCTGAATAACAGAATGTTGTGCTCTGCTGCCACCCTGTGGTCTATTTATGAACTGCACACTGAGCTTGTAGTGTTTCTATGGCAACAGAAAGGGATGCAAACTGTGTACCTCGATATGAACAATTAACAGCTGGCTTTGTATTCGTTTGGGCGGAGAACACGAAGACGAGTGTTTCTTACATTTCATGAAGTAAAAATGTTTACATAAAAAGACACTAACACCTTTTTTGGTTAAATCTTTCAAAAATAAATTATATTTATTGCCTTCACAGGATCCTATTTCAACATTTTACATCACGTTTAATTCACAGGTGTTTTTATTTCCTTTTGTTATTTTTATTTGTTAAGTTAAATTTACCTTCAATCAGAGGAATCATTGTAATGATTTCCTGATTTTTTGATGTCATATTCATTTAAAAAAAATCCATGCACAGGATCTTATTCAAACACAAAGGTGCATGAACACTCCCACACACACACACACACACACACACACACACACACACACACACACACACACACACACACACACACACACACAGAAAGAACAGTTCCTCTGCACAGTTACACCATGTGCCATCATCCCGCCTCCTTTGATGGTTGTTATGGCGATGTCATTGCTAAGGTGGACAAAGTAATGTTCCTTCCTGCACGTGATGAATCAAAGCCCTGCGTGCTAATTAAAAGCTCCATTGTTGAATCAGACCTGCGGGGTTGCCATAGAGCTTCACCTTTAATGTGCTCAGCTCCGTCTACCTGCCTGCTCTGCCTCCGTGTGACTCTCAGGAGCTCTGCTTGGGATGGATGAACTGTTACTCAGAGCTGCCTGACGACAAGCCTCCATCACTCTCTCTCTCTCTCTCTCTCTCTCTCTCTCTCTCTCTCTCTCTCTCTCTCTTTCTCTCTCATCTTCACACACTTTGTCCGAGGAGGAAACACAATCTGAGAAGAAGAAAAGAAAAAAAAAAAACACCTTGACAACTGCTGCAGCTCTGACTAACACTGCATGGTCACAGCCAGTCGCAGCTCTGCAACAACAGGGAAGTAAATGTCTCCAAGAGAGGACTGAACCCGGCTGCAGGTGAGTGAGAAATTCATCCTCATTCTTCAACTTAATTTGTCTTTTTGGAACATTTTTTTTAACCAAAAATCTGACAGAAATGTATTTTTATTGCTGATTTAAGTTTTTTTGGCGGCTTAACACTTCATTTCTAACCACATTTTTCTGCATTTAATAATTGCAAAAACCTCACATTTGTGTCTTTGAGAGTGTGCACAGCTCTGACATTCACTCACACTGTAACACATGTGCACAGGTACACACACACACACACACACACACACACACACACAGAGTGAGGTTAGTGTGCTCCTACAGAGGATGAGTGTTGAGCTCTTCAGGTGAAGTGGAGTTTTCTGTCCTTAATGTGCAGAACTGTTTGCTGACTGCAAGCAACAAAATGCTGCAGTAAAACATACAAATCCATCAGAATGAAGAGTGTGTAACGAATGAATGAAAACCTTTATTGCCCCAAGGGGACTTTATCTTGCACCGGGAGAATGATAGCATAAAAGACAAAAGGCATCAACAACCATACTGGAAAGAAAAATCATTAAAGCGTTACATAATTTCATGTAAGGGATGTCAAGTAGCATGCTCAGTAAAGTGAAGAGGGCCAGGTTCAGACTGTATCATCAGAGCTTATGAAGCAGCTGAATGCTGCCTGGTACAAAGGATGAGATTCCTCTTTTTGTCCTCCTCCTCCTGGGCATTTTGTACCTGCACCCCAAAGTCAAGAGTACATACCAAGACCAAAGGGGGTGCAGTGGGTCTGCTATGATCTTGTTCATGAGAATCAGGGTGTACCGGGCTTTCAGGAAACAAAAAAATGCTCCACATAGTTGAACAATCATGCCCAGTTTGTTCTGATTTTGTACGGACAACGCTCCCCACCAACACACTCCTCTACACATGTTTTGAAGGAGAATCAAGAGCACGATATGTGAGTGAAAGGTTCAATTTCTGCAGGTTTGCATCCACTGACAAGATGGAAGTGTTTCCTTTTAACTCATTTAGCGTTCATTTTTGGGGGTGCCTGATCTAAGTGCAGTATGATGATGCTTAAGTGTTATTACCACCAAATGCACCATAGATCTAAAACAGAAAGAACTGCATAGAGATTGCACACATTGCATTTTTTCTCAACATCACAACCATATAAATGTCAACACACAGGTGAAGCTAAATAGTCACATTAAATTAGTAAGAGCCAAAATCTGAGGCATGTTGGACTAAATGAAATGACATGAAAACTTGAGAGTTTCTGTTTATGTTACCTACTTCTATTACATCACATTTAAAGAGGTAAATATTTCACTTAAAAAATCCCCTCATAAAGATTTAAAAACCTTTATGAGGGGATTTTTCTACCCAGATAAATTGTAAATGAAACCCTGCAAAACTATGTACTTGAGATTATGTAAGGTAATAATCACCACTAAAACACTGACATACTGTTTATGGCGATGCATCAATAATGATTTTTTTTTTGTTGTTTTGCATGTAACAGTGTTTCTGCATACTAGGTACTATTGTCTTTTAAAGTACATCACAATATTGGTTTATAAACTTGAGTTTTCAAATATTTAAGAGGTAGACTGTGGGGGAAAAAATGCAACCTTAGAGGTACTTTAGTATTGTAGTTTTGACAAAAGGCTGTGATTCAAGTTCACAAAAAGAATAGCAGCAACTGCACCTTCTCAACCGGTTTGTTCGGGGCGTGCTGCAAATTAAACTTAGATTAAAATCTGTGGTTAGACTGTCCTCCCCTTTGCTTTAATCGACTGGTTTAATCTCCTTCCATGAGGAGATAGAAAGTGTTTGATCCCATTGTTAAGGTTGCCAGTCAACATAGGCATTTGTCTCAAATCTTTTCATAAGAGAGTCACAGAGAAGGCTCGAGACACACTAGAGAGAGTGTCCTCGGCAGCCTCTCTGGGGTGAATTTGAGCTCCTACCCTCCAGCAGGAGATTCAGATTATTTAAGGCAAAAATCCAACAGGATGAAAAATGATTTCATCACTCAAGCGATCAAAAAACGACATTTTGATAGTGACCGAGTGAGAAGCATTTAATTCTTCATGGCTGATAGGTAGAACTGTTTCACTCTCAGCTGTCCCTTCTTATATTCCTGTTTTAGAATGGTTCCTGTAACTGATTTATGGTTTTACTGGCTGCAAAGTAACATTTCCCTCAGGGATAATGACGTTAAAAGTCCAAAAGTCTGTGATTTAGAGCTAAATGCACAGGTCGGATTCAAACCCTGGCAGTCTGCTTTGAGGACCGTGCATGGTCTCTGTACATGGGGCGTGCCAAATAACCACTAGACCACCTGCGGTCCCTTTCTTAACATGTATTTATTGCACTTCCTTCTTCCACATGAATGCACTTGCATAACATCAGAGAGTTGAGGAGCACACAGTCCTGAGGTAACACTCAGAAACCTGCTGAGGTCTGGAACAAAAGGTTTTGAATGACTCAAAGACAGACTCTGGATCAGAACGCCACAGCGTGATTAAAGAACACCACCTCCACCTCGTCTGTCAAACACGATGCAGGTGGTGTTTTTTTTTTTTTTTTCATCTGATCACGTGTGACTAAACAAGCTCTTTTGTAATCGGTGATGATGTCATCGCTGATGTTAGCAGCAGGTTGAAGCAGAAACACATAAAAGTGTGTGGCTCTAAACTGGACATAATAAGGCAGTTTGTTCATTGGATGACTGATGTGTGATTCAGGATGTCGCCAATCATCCCCGGTCTGCAGCATTTTGGATGTTTGCAAAAAGGCTTCCATGTAAGACAGTCATCTTTAGTTCTTTATTGTGAGGAGGGAAAGAAGATGAAAATGAGACAGAAGTAGAGATCAACGATGGAAGGCAGAGATGGGACAAAAGAGCCTCCTAAGGGAACGCGTCTAAGTCTGAAGTGAAAGCATCTGCAGAGTCTCGTAACAACATACGAGTAGATTCAGGCTAAAAGCAGGGAGAGTGTTATGTGTTCAAATACTGCTGTACACACTCAAGAGCACTCGTTTGAGATCTTTATCAAACCCCAAATAAGAGGCGTCAGTGCAAAACTCTTATTTATCCTGCAACATGTCACATAAACTGTGGTGATTAAATTAAGTCGGATTGAAATCTGTCTGCATGGGAATGCAAAGCAAACGTGAGCTTGCATATTTGTGTGATTTCTAGCCAAACTTTAAGCAAGAAAGACATCTAAATGTCGTGTTAAATCTCTCTGTAGACTTGGACACATGCAGTCCATCTCATGTGGATTTGGACGCCATCAAACTACAGATTAATGTCTGCCTTCACTTATTATCCTGTATGTCTTACTGGGAACTCACTCGTAAAAATTCCAGTGTACAAATAATGTTTCAAATGACATTTACTGCTTCTCTGCACCATTTGTGGGTCCAAGCCAAATGGTTCCTATAAAAGATGTGAATCTGTAAAATTGTCTCAAATATATCAGTTACTTCCTCACTTTTCAAACATGAGGAAAATGTGCTTTTTATGAGAACTATTTTCAGTAAGGGATTGATCCACAGGTGATGCTCTTGTGAGGATGTATGCAGGTTAAATAATCCACAGTGTTTGTTCACGGTGATGTCATCAGTGCGACAGTATAGGTATGACATTTATCTGAGAGTTTTCAGAACAGTGGAGCTCTGCGGCACAGAGGAGAAAAGACACACCCTCAACACTTAAATATAAAAAAATATAGAAACAGCTTCAGACTTATCCTTTAACCTCATTGGAGTACTGAGCAGTGCATTGATTTGTCACTATGTGCAAACTGGAGCATTGCCAATAGCAACAAGTTATAAAAAAAACATGCTGAATTATGTAGAGCGCTGATCATTATGTTTTTTTTCAGTTATGAAGAGCAGAATAAACTAACTGCATGGTGCAGTTAAACCGGTTTAGTCAAACATGCTGCAGGCAAAAGCCTAAAGCACAGAGCACCTGGTGTATTTGTGCAACGTTTGTGCATTATTTTTAATATAATTTAATATGTTTCTACCCAGCTGATTCTCTTAATGTTGCAACATGTACAAAAACACTTTCCTCTCCTTTCATACATGTAAATCTGTGCCTTTTTTTGTGGTCTCATGGTCTGTGACTCATGCAGGAAAATGTTATGTTACTGTCTGAGAGACAGCCAACTGCCACCTTATTTGGTCTAATAAAGAGAAGCAAGGACAAACAGTACAAAGGCTGATAGAAAGTGGCTGCCTGTGCTGGTTCTGCAGAGGACGAGTGAATGAAAAAGAACGCTGAATGGATCCTGTATGCAAAAAAAAAGACAAGTGTTTCATATGTTTTGCTTTTTCGAACCTCAAACTTCTTGTTTGACGTACAAGTACATTTACTGGTAGAAATTAAACAGGAATTAACACAAAAATCACAACAACATTCAACATAAGAAAGTAGCCATTACTCCAATCTCTCTTGCCTTTTCAGTTAAGCCACTGCTAATATTGGTTGACTATTTCCACAGAGAATTAAGCTAAGCCAAGTGTGTATCCTTGCAAAATCCTTCTGCTCATAGTTATATATGATCAAAATTAAATTCTATAAAGAGAATATAACCAAGGCAGCAGCTCTTTCAGTAGACTGAAACGCTTCCTTTTTATCGTAGTTTACATGCAACCAAAGACCGTCTAAAATAATGACGTAGTCTCAGTGACATCACCCAGAGGTTTACGAAAAGAGACTTTTGAAGCCAATCAATGGCAGTTGCCATTTTGGAAATGCCGTCTAAAACTAGCTTTCTGTCAACCTTCAGTTGTCTGAGACAAATTTATATTGAGGGAGAAAAATAAAGAAACCTTAACCTTGAACCTAAGCCTTGTGCATGGTCGTGCAATAGTGCCTTGCACGATTGAATACACGCGACCACTGTGATCTCGTATTTTAACTGCTGCATTATGTTTTCTGTTCATCAGCATGTTCTTCTCCGCTCTTCTGTTGACATAATGAATCTGTTGAACTACACACAGCATTGATATGAAAGAAAAGGTTTTCATTATAGTGTTGTATAGAATACAGCCAGCATCTAGTGGACACTTGAGGAACTGCAGGTTTATGGCAACCACCTTGATCGAAATATGACTACAGTTCCTCAAGTGGCCACTTGAGGCTGGCTGCAAAAGCCATGGAAGTCACATACACACCCATCCAAAAGAGATAATTTTTACAGCAGAATAAACATGTTTACAGCGTGGTTAAAAAAAACAGTCTTGGTCTGAATAGCTAATTTCATCTGTCTTGATAATATTAGGGCTAATAGTTATTTATAATTAAGGGTGTGGTTGAGCAGACTGACAGGTGTGCGCGTTGTAGCTACGTCAGCAGGCTCAAGGCCACCTCAGCTCCACCTCAATGCCTGTTACTATGCTGACCAAAAGTCAGATTGATATAGCATCTTCAATGTGGCAACGGCCATTGATAGGTTTCCAAAGTCCACATCGGAAACCAATGGGTGACTAACCTGAGACTACATCTATTTTTTAAACAGTATAGGGTTTGCATCCAAGATGTTGTATTATTGCCACCTCCTGGTCTCACTTGTGTAAATTGATTTGTACATTTATTGCACCTCAATGAGAGGATATAGTTAACCAGGAGTCCAAAGTCTTACATTGAGCAAACATGTGGATGGAAAGAAAAGGATCAGGATCTCTGAAAGTGTTTTCTTATTTCCACAGAATCCAGTCTTAATTTATCTCCAAAACCACCAGCTTGGACCAAGAAGGATGGAGGGAGAAGGCTGTAATCCTGGGGTCGCCATGGACTCGGGGAACCCCTTGCTAAGGGCCGTATTCCTTCGTCGTTTAAGACTCACACGGCTGCTCCTGGAGGGAGGAGCTTACATCAATGAGAGCGACAGTCAAGGCCAGACGCCTCTCATGGTGGCCTGTAGAACCCAGCATACCGACACCCAGAGCGCTAGCCGGGTAAAGCTGGTCCAGTTTCTTCTGGAGAAAGGAGCTGACCCGAACATCCAGGACAAAGAAGGTCGATCTGCGCTGATGCACGCCTGCAGGGAACAGGCCGGCCCTGAGGTTGTTTCTTTGCTTCTTGCAAGCGGTGCTGATATTAGCCTCGAGGATCAGTCTGGGACATCTGCGTTGGTCCATGCAGTCATGGCCGGAGACTGGAAGGTTCTGAAACTGTTGCTAGACACGTGCAAGGCCAAGGGGAAGGAGGTGATCATCATAACGACGGACCAATTCCCATGTGGGGAACTTAAAGCCAAGCAGTACCTCAGCATGCCTTCTCATGATCCTGATAATCAAACAGACAAAACGACATCAGCTCCTCCTGCATCTCCCTCGGATGTTCAGCTCATCACCTCCCCCCAGTGCACCTCTTCCTTGTGTCTCCCAAAGCCTATCTTCTCCTTTAAAGAATCAAAATCCTATGGTGTGAGCTCCCATCCATGTTCCCCTTCACGGTATCAAAGATGTGGCCAAGCGCTAACAAACGGCCTGCAGCAGCCTCTCCTGAGGTTAAACTCTGAGCCCTGGCTCAAAATCCCTGCATCTCTGCTCGCCCATCAGCATAATACCGCTTTATCCTCAGAGGAAGGCAAAGACCTCAATCAAACTGAAGACCTCTCTTTCAGAATTCCCAAACTGTACGAGGAAGGCAGCACCAATTCAGTAACCCATAGCTTCAGTTGGTATGAAGAACAATTTGAAAGGGACAAAGGAGTAAAAGGAGATGGAAAGAATGGATGTGCCAAAAAGAAGATGTCCCTGCCAGGTCTCCTATCATCTCACTCTGCCTCCCATCCGAACCTCCACTCTGGAAACCTTGGAACAGATTCAATCAGATCTTCGTCATCCTTTTCCGGCGGTAGGAACCTTGGCGCTCCACTTAAAGACATGGCCTCGTCGAGCCTTTACAGCATCATCCAGAGGCGTAAGCTTGGGGCAGACATCTACAGCTCCGATCCTCAGCTGGCTTTCGACATCCAAAACGTTCCCGAGGAGAACCAGAAGAGAGCCAAAGACCTTAGCGATGCAAAGAGGCTGACCCCTTTACGCTGCTCCAGCACTGTGGGCTCCAGGGAGTCCTTGTCGTCCTTGGGGAAGAAACTGCTCTCCGGGTTTGAGCGCAGAGGGTCCGGAGCTTTCTTGTTGGACCACAGCTCCCAGTCCAAGCCTAGATCTCTACCACCTCTCGTGCTCAACTCCACCAACAACCCTGTTTGTAACGTGTACAACCTCGGCTCCAGTGGTGGAGGGGGTTTCTGTGAGAAAGAGGCTGGCTTGAAAAATTTCCTTCCCTCCGCGCCTCCTGGGCACCCAAAAGAGCTGACCAGGAGGATGCTGATGAGGAGACACTCCATTCAGACTGAGCAGTTTAAAACCACGGCCTAAAGGATGACAGAAAAGTTCATTAACATGTTTTAATGTGTTCAATGGGATGTTGTGTCAGTGAAATCAATGAAGCAACCTAAAGAGGACGAGATTAAGAAAAAAGAAAATGTCTTATTTATGTGACGTACAAACAGCAGGTACTTGAGTGTATTTTGTGTTATGACTGTGCTTGTGACCCTTCTACGTCCAATACTGCCCTCAAGCTGCATTCTGATTTTTGGGCCACTAGGGGGCAGTGGAGCAAGCTAAAAGTAAAACGACCGACATTTTGGTTATGTCCCATTTCAGGGGCTGCATCCTTTGGAGGGCGGCTGGCTGTAAATATATAAATGGACGAAGCCTGAGTGATACTGCAGGGGACTATGGAAGCCCGTTGGTGGCATATGTGTGACTTCTATGCTGACTAAGACTAAGTTTTGATCAATCAGAGTTACAAAAACAATCAGAAATACTTTATTAATCTCCAGGGGAATAGAAGCAGGAAAGGAGCTGATGCCCACCTGTCAGTCAGATCAGCCCCGCCGCTTATTGTGCAGCTTTATGAATAACTATGAGGCTAATTATCACCAATACAGATGATTATTACACAAAATTCATCCTTGCACAATTTTTAAACGACACAGAAGTAAGCCTTGGTGAAAAAACATTCTGTAAACATGTGTTTTTGTTGTGTAGAAATTGACATTTTAAGATGGGTGTTAATGGAGATTCCTTTGCTTTTGGAGACAGACTCAAGTGCACACTCAAGGAACTGCAGTGTTTAGCACTTCTGCATTGGTGTTATTTCATCATGGTTAAAAGAGAAAATAAGATGAACGAGGAGCAAATACAAATTTAAGGGGACTTACACAATTGGTGGCATCTTCGTTAATTCTTTGGGGAACCGTCAGCGTTCATATATTACCTTTCAGTGACTTGTCTGCTAAAAAAAAAAATCGAGCAGTGCAGCTCTTGGAAAAAAAAGAGAGAAAGGTACACACTGCTTTAAACAGGGCAACGTTTCGATCTTCCTCAGGCAGCTTTACAGCCACCTTTTGTAGAGTTTAAAAATCCTGTTTATTTTGCCCCCTAGTGGACAGCAAATGACATGCTTTGTATATTTCCAGCAAACAATGCCGTACAAAGTGGCTTTAAATTGGGAGAAGTTGAGTGTTTAAATTGCTATTTGTTTAATGAGTCACGTGTTTGTAAAAAGGCTTCATCCACCACAAACTCACTGTGTAAAGATCAGCAAGAGAAATGTTTAATAAATGAATTTATTATGATAAAAATACAAACAAAAATAATTTGAAAAGTACATCACTTTGCATTAAACATGCATAGTCATTAAGAAGTGTCTGTTTGTTCAACTTTATATACATAAATCATACCATGACAGTCAAAACACACAAATGTACTTCCACAAACTGCTAAAAAAGTTAAGTAAAATCACAGTTTCTCGCACATTTACAAAATTGTTGATAAAAAAAGCGAATTAAAAGACTGAATTAAAAAACAATCATTTCATATGGAGTCACTCAATCAAGAGATTTTAGAAACGGCTGAGATAATGTCTCGTTTATGCATCCTTTAATTTAGAAATCTAACCGTGGATGTAGGTTAAATAAATACATCTAATTGTGTCTACGGCAGGAGATGCTCATAATACAAACAGCGGTAACACAAAAACACAGTATTTGTTTGCTGAGCATTCAAAGTATAAGCAAACAATGTTTCCTGAAGCTAACAGCTCAGGCAGACTGCGGACACTTCTCTGTACATCCCTGAAGCTTCATCTGCAGTCTGCTCGCGGTCGTAAAGACAAATCCTCCCCAAGCGGTGACGACGACGGAGCACGTTTTAGTCCCTTCTGTCTTTGGACAGGCGTCCTGATGTTCAGGCTCTGCGGTCGAAGTTGCTGACCACGTTCTTGATGTGATTCAGTTTGGCCTTCAGATACTTACACCTGCGCTTCTTCATCTGATAATCTGGAGACTGAACCAAAAAAAATAAAACGTAGTGAGGACAAGTTACACAATGGACAGCTTGTAAATAAAGCACCAGGATTTATTCTGATTGTGTTGTGACAGCAGGAGCTAAATGTTTGATTTGTTCTCACTGTAGATCAACAACAATCCCACATACCTTCTTCCGGTTCTTTATCCTGTTGTACTCGTCCAGAGCATCCTGATAAAGACGGCATCAGTTAATCAGAGAAGCAGTTCACAGGATTTAAGGGGAGCGTTAGTCCATAAGGCAATACGTTTATGAAATATTCAGAAAATATAAGAGTGAAGAAGTGTTTTCCTCTCACCAGGTACTGTGGGCTTCCCTCCTGCAGATCGTCCAGCTCTCGGTCCACGTCAGACAGGCCCTTGTTGATGGCGTCCAGCTCGGCCTGCAGGTCTTTGTACTCCAGATGGTCGCGGTCAAACTCGCGCTTGTAGCCGTTGCGCACCTGCTCGTTCGCTATCGGAGGAAACTCGCTGAAGAAGAAGAGAACAACAAATGTTTCTTTCAGAGAAAATCATCTCAAGTTATATTTTTGCCTTTATTGGATAGGACAGCTGAAGAGAGACAGGAAATGTTTGGAGGAGAGAGAGGGGGGGGATGACATCTACAAAGGTCAGAGGTCGGATTCAAACCCACGGCTGCTTTGATGAGTATTACAGTATAACCTCTGTACATGGAGGGGGCGGCGTTACCGCTAAGCTATCTGATCAGATTATTCTTAAAAGGCCACATTTCAATTTTCACTAATTCCAACCGTGACTTTCTACCTGAACATTTCAGAGAAAAATAATGATAATTTTATATAAAAGAGCAAAAATTCTGACACTGGATGGAGAGCATTTGAACATGGTTTAAATAAAGTTTAGAAGTTTCATGAATTTTGTGGGAAAAGTGGACATTTGTCTTAATTCTCCTAGCTTATTTTTAAATTCTTTAAAGGCTGAAATCACTAAGATAGACCGGGGTTCACTTAGTTTGTGTCTAAAACCTTCAGGAATCAATCAGTATTTACACTAAACTGTGGTGTGATCATCACATGAAATCATTTAAATTATCCTCTAATTGATCGGCTACAATTAAAATGCAATTCTCATGTGACAGCACAGATGATAAATATCCAAGAATACGTCAAAACAACCTGGAAAAAGACATCCACAAAATAATAACTTTTCATTTTTACCTGTTGAAGTCATCGTCGTCCAGCTCGTCTCCTGACGAGTTGTAGTCCGTGTCGTAGTCCTGTCCGTCAGCGCGGCGCGGTCGACCTGCTCGTCTCTTTTTGGGCCTCCCCTTCGAGCTCGGTACCTCAGAGATAGAGCTGTACGGAGCGTTCTGCAGAGGCAGCACCTCTTCTACTGCAGGTCTGTGAGAGGAGGTGTACTGTTAGATTCATTCTGAATAACATGAAAAGAAACGCATCACAGAGCCTTATCCCTCATCTAAAATGAGTTATAAACTTTAAAATGTGCAGGTTCATGAATGTCTGTTAATCCAGTAAACTCTGGCTTGTGTGATTGCTTCTGACGTAGGAGGAAGATAACTCAGCTGTTCTGGTTTACGATCCATCAATTCTACTTTGATGAGTCAGAAGGCGAACAATGACTTCCTGTCTCCATTCATGCACGTCTTGTTCTCTTATCAGGACTCAAGTATTTGACTCAGTTTCACTGTTGCATGTAGAAACTGTAAACACATAAGGCAGAAAGCCTCCAGGTATCTGTGTAGGATCTCTTCTGACCCTGCACTTTACAAGAAGAAAAGCAAACACAACAACCTGCTCCACATTTTTGAACGAGGAACAAGTTTGAGCACGCAGCAGCAGAGACTCGTCTGTAGCCGCGCTACAAATCCATACAGCACACAGGTTCTGTACATCATGTTCTGTGCACAATGATTCTTCAAATACTCGATAAACTACCAGATCTTTAAACTAGAGGACATTTTCTAGTGAAGGGAAGTAACACAAGATGTGCATCAGAGGATTTTAGTTCACAAGAGGAACAATCAATTTTAATTAAAGTCAAATTAATCAACAGGTCACTCTGGTGCCAGACAAGACCAAGACCAGGGCAGACCGAGGCCGAGACAAGACCAAGACCAGGGCAGGCCGAGGCCAAGACAAGTCTAGGACCAGGGTAGACCGAGACAAGACTAAGATATTTGGGGGTTGAGACCGGGTTAGGGTCAAGACCAAGGCAGGGCGAGACCGACACAAGACCAAAACATCTAGGGATCAAGACCGAGTCAAGACCAAGACTAGGGCAGGACAAGACCGAGACAAGACCAAGACATTTTGGGGTCCACATCACACGTCTCTCTCCGTCTGCTTCGTCCCACAGTTCATGAACACATCACACGTCTCTCTCCGTCTGCTTCGTCCCACAGTTCATGAACACATCACACGTCTCTCTCCGTCTGCTTCGTCCCACAGTTCATGAACACATCACACGTCTCTCTCCGTCTGCTTCGTCCCACAGTTCATGAACACATCACACGTCTCTCTCCGTCTGCTTCGTCCCACAGTTCATGAACACATCACACATCTCTCTCCGTCTGCTTCGTCCCACAGTTCATGAACACATCACACGTCTCTCTCGTCCTGCAGAAGTTTATAATCTCATATCGGTCTCGTGTACTCACGGTGGCGTGTAGCTGTACGGCGGTTTGTCGTAGTTTGTGCTCTCATCGTCCAGCCGGTCTCTGGAGCTCCTCAGCTTGTCGGGGTAATCGGACATGGGGAGCACTTCAGGGCCAACTGAGACATTGTTCACCTTTAGGGGAATATAAAAAAAACATGCACATGAGCAACATGCAACACAAAAACATCCCATGATGTTAGATCAGATTATGATGCTCAGGCAACACAGTGACCAACAATCATTTTAGAAATGACATCACCTCTTCAATCACAGAAGAAGATGTTTTTATGTTACTTTATTGTTGCAGGTTTTACTTTGAAGGATACAAACTTCTACGACCTCATGAATAGACATAAAGATAAGCTAAGT